TGACTCTGGGTGGGCTTTGCATAAAATAATATCAATGGAAGTTAATATTAACAAACTTGAAATGGGAAATGGTTCATCCTTTATTAGACTGCCAGAACAAATTTCTAAAAAGCGAGCATGTTTGAATATAAAAAATACTGACTCGGCATGTTTCTATTGGTCAATCATAAGTGCCTTCTACCCAGCGAAAACACATAGGGAACGGACTTCTTCATATCCATATTACACTACAGTTCTGAAAACAGTAGATTTAGATGCACCCATGTCTCTACGTCAAATTCCAAAATTTGAAAAAGACAATAACATTTCCGTGAATGTATACACATTAGAGTTGAATTTAGTCAAGGAAAAATCATATTATACTGTGGTGCCAGCCAGACTTACAAAAAATAAATTAGAAAGGCACGTTAATCTATTGCTAATTCAAAACAAATATTATCCAAAATTAAATGATTATGAGGCTCCTCCGATTGATGAAGAAGATTCTGACATCAAATACCATTACTGTTTGATTCAAGATATGTCTAGATTAATATCAAGCCAAGTGAATAAACATAATGGTAAAAAATTTATTTGTGAAAGATGCATGAATTATTTTCAATGTGAACAAAAATTGATTGATCATCAAATGCTGTGTTCTGAATTGAACCAATGCAAAGTTTCATTTCCAAAATATGATCACATAGAATTCAAAAATTTCACCTACCAACAAACCACCCCCTTTATAATTTATGCAGACTTTGAATGTCAATTAGAACATGTGGATGATATGGTTTCATCAAAAACAAGCAAATATCAGAAACATGTGGCTCATAGTGCAGGCTATTATTTTAAATGTGATTTCGATGATTCCTTGTCGTTTTTCAATAGCCATAGGGGTGAAGATTGTATGGATTGGTTTGCAAATGAAATGTCGAAGATAGCTGAAATCGTGCAATCTAAAATCAAAACAATCGTGCCAATGACTGTTAGTCCTGACAAATGCAAAGCAAAAATCTGTCATATTTGTGAGAAACCATTCAGGGAGAAAGACATTATCGTAGCCGATCATAATCACTTTTCAGGCGATTTCAGGGGGTGGGCGCATCAAGCACCCTGTAACATAAATTTCAAGAAACTCTTTGTTGTTCCAATTGCATTTCACAACCTGATAGGATATGATTCACATTTCATGATCAGTCAATTGAGTAAAAAGGGTCGTATGAGCATACTTCCAATAAACATGGAAAAGTACATATCTTTCACTTTACATGATGACAATACAGGCATCAAATTCCGATTTATTGACTCTTTTCGCTTCATGGGTACATCCTTAGATAAATTATCTTCAATCATGGATAGAAATGATTTTGAAATTTTGAAAAAAGAATTCAGTCATTTGAATGACGATACATTCAACCTCCTCACCAAGAAGGGTGTCTTTCCCTACGATTACATTAGTTGTTTGGAAAAATTGAATGATACTGAATTACCTACAAAGAAATATTTTTATAATAAATTGAATGATGAACACATTAGCGATGAGCAGTACGCCCATGCTCAAAAGGTATGGTCATCATTCAAAATTCAAAATTTAGGGGAATATTCTGACTTATATTTAAAAACAGACGTTATGTTGTTGACCGCTGTTTTCGAGAAATTCCGGCAGAAATGTAGGACAACTTATGGGTTAGATCCAGCATGGTACTATACCATGCCTGGATATACATGGGATGCCATGTTAAAGTACACCAAATGCAAACTGGAATTATTGAATGACGTTGATAAAATCATGTTCATCGAGAAGGCATTACGTGGTGGTATTTCTGTTTGTAGTGGTAGGTATTCAGAAGCTAATAACAAGTATATGTCTGAATATGATTCCAATAAACCTTCAAAATATCTCATGTATTTAGATGTAAATAATTTGTATGGTTGGGCAATGTCAGAGTCTTTACCATTCGGAGATTTCTCATGGATGGAAAACGTTGAAAATTTCAACGTAATGAATATTGCTGATGATGCTCTTGAAGGATATATTTTACAAGTAGACTTAGAATATCCTCGCGACTTGCATAACAATCACAAAGACTTTCCATTTGCTGCTGAACATCGCATACCACCCGGCTCAAAATTACCAAAATTAATGACAACACTTTACGACAAAAAAGATTATATTTTACACTATAGAAATCTAAAACAATGTTTAGCAAACGGACTGAAACTGACGAAAATCCACAAAATTTTGAAATTCAGGCAATCTTTTTGGCTCAAATCATATATAGATCTGAATACTTCTTTGAGGACTGCCGCAACAAATGAATTTGAGAAAAATCTCTATAAACTAATGAATAATGCAGTTTTCGGTAAGACGATGGAAAACATACGAAAGCATAGATTAGTGAAACTAGTAAGATCATGGCAGGGACGTTATGGAGCCAGAAATCTCATAGCTAGTCCACGATTCCGTGGTAGAACAATTTTTGAAGAAAACTTGATTGCCATAGAGATGCAGAAAACCGAAATAATTTTTAATAAACCTCTATACGTAGGAATGGCCATTTTAGATTTATCAAAATTGTGCATGTACAAATTTCACTATGAGTATATGATTCCGAAAATGGGTATTGAAAGGTGTAAATTGTTATATATGGATACAGACAGCTTCATATATGAATTGAAATGTGATGATGCATATGAAGAAGTTATAAAGGCTGATCTCTCTCAATTTGACACATCTGAATATGCTCCAGATAATAAATATAATATGCCACTAGTCAATAAAAAAAAGTTGGGTTTATTAAAAGATGAAGCAAATGGGAAAATCGTTACTAATTTCGTAGGACTACGTTCGAAAATGTATGCATATAAAGTACAAGGGGGTAAGGTTGTCAAAAAATCGAAAGGGGTGAAAACTAATGTTGTCAAGAATAAAATTGGGTTCGAAGATTATTTGAATTGTTTGAAGAATTTCGGAGCACAAACAGTGTCTCAACGTACTATCCGTTCATATGCCCACAATGTGTTTAGCATTCAACAATCAAAAATTGCTCTGAGTCCCAAAGATGATAAACGGTATTTGATTCCAGGTTCGTTCGACACATTGCCATGGGGTCATACACAGGCAAAAGAGTAATTTTTTCATGTAAATCAACTCATCAAACATTTATAAAGAAAAAAAAAAAAAAACCATACACCTACACTTACACTCCTCTGTTTTAGATTTAGAATTATTATTTGGGCTTAAAGAACGATATGAATGTGATATGGATTTACATGATTCACATTATCAGAGATATGAGAGATTCATCGATTCTGGTGATGAACATACAGATATTGATTCTTGACTTACTTTAACAATATGTTACAGATTTTAGTAGCATGATATCATCTTTACAAATGTAGTTTGCGAAAGAAGACAATGAAAAATGACTTTTTTTTCAGAATATGTTTTTTCTTATGAAAATGTAATACTTGTCCTGGCTATTAATGTAAATATAATATATGCTGTCTATCTATCATTAATAAAATAATTATTGAAATTTTCTGTGTATCATTGGGATGGGTAGTGAGTGTAAGAGAGAGTGAGAGGGTAAAAAAGTGAGAAGAAGAGAGAGAGAGAGAGAGAGAGAGAGAGAGAGAGAGAGAGATTGGATGGATATTAGTTGAAGGTATGGATGTAAAAAACAGTTGTATCATGTCTTCTGACGAATACAGACGTGCACTAGAAGAATTTGGGTTGAAAGTTAGAAAGCTCAGTGCAGACATCCAATTGTATGAGCAGAAAGTTTGTTTGTTCAAAGATTTCGAGCAATTGAGTATTTGGGACAAGGTGTTCACAGAACCAAGACGCACAGCTGCACCTACATCGAGAAGAATCCAACCAACACAGCTACTAGATGGCGATACTGAAAGCAAGCTTCATTCTATTGACAGCTCTGAGCAACAACGTCTTCTACACAAACATACCGTACAATACGAGGAATGCAGCCGTATGTTTTGATGTGAATCGTACACAACAGTGTGATTGGAAGCTGATGAGTAGAATGTATGTCAATGATAACAAACTACCTGTATATTCAATCGACATGCCTCGAGTCAATGGGACCACCATCGACTACAAATTGAAATTATCGTTTTCTGATGGCAGTGACGGCGAAATGGGAGACTGGCAGACATTTACATTGAAGAAATCACCCGCAAAATTAGATGATGATCAAGATTCTGTCAATATCATTGCAATTTTGACACTTTGTTGTACACTAATATGTTCACTCATTTTAATCTCGCATGTTATTTTCATTATACTGAGAAATAAGGGATGTGATGAATAAAAACTCTGAAATTACGATATATAGTTTTTTATTTTGGCAATAAATTACATAACCAATTATATAAAGTATCGACATTGTGGAGACTGCACTGGAACCTTCCTCCATGGAAATGATTCATGCAGGGTGGAATGGATTGTAGGAACGTTATTGGTTGCCACCAAGAATTGTCAAAATCTTCCAAATTAACAATGTGATTGGTCATCTCCAACTCTGCACATTTTCGCTGCAAAAACTGAATCTTTTGATGGCCTCTTACGTAGATGATGTTTGTCTGCTGCAGGTTATCTCGTAGTATTTGATCCAACTCATTCAAATCCACATAACCACTGGAATATTTTAAACCATGAACGTAACGCTCCACATGATTTGCCATCTTTTTATCTTCTCTGCTTAAACTGGAAAATTCTACAGATGGCTTGAATAGAAAATGACTCGTCTTTTTGCCTATGCGAATGGTCATTTCCTTTGGAATGAATTCACCATCAACTGTGAACCCTTGAATGTCAACCAGTGCGATCTCCATGACTCTTCGAAGCAAACTGACGTCTGACTGATGCAGCAACACCCACCTAGGCAATATTTCGAACAATTTCGCTGAGTGGGAGATGTTCCATGATTTGATCATGAATGATGATGCAATAGGCTTTGGTGTCGGGAGGGAAGCCTGTAGTCGCTTCAATGTCCAACTTTATGTCAACTGTGGACGACTTTAGACCCAGATGGCGCCTCGAGCAATCGATAACAAACATTGGTCGGGATTTGAATTCGGCAAAGTTTACTAGAGAGCGCTTTTCTTGACAGTTATGGTAGCTCTTGTTGAACTCTGTATAGTTGAAGTGGGCGTCGGCATATTGGTCTCGGGAAAAGTCCAATAGCATTCGTTCTTGCGGATAATAGTCGCTATTCAGAGCCAATCGTATGGATTTGATGTTGGCATTATCGAACAAGGTGACGTCTTCATGCAAATTATCGGCTTTTTTCGTTTGGAAAAATACTATAACATATCTTGGACTGTCCAATGCAGAACATGTCTTGACGGACCAGATTTCTATGGTAGATCCTTGTGTGAGTGCTGGTAGCTCGTGCAATTCCCATCGGCGAAACGGTATCATCATAGACTCATCTGCTTTGATACGTGTCAACAACTGCAACTTTATGTCATCGTTGGGTGTGAGATGTGGCACTTTCAAATTGATGCTTTCTATCGTTATTTTAGCAATACTCTGAGTCTGAGGAGATCCTTGCAAAGCAGTATTCGCTCTCTCGACAACCTTCACACTATTGGCATCATTGCGAGCTCTCACTAAACGGATTGACTGCTTGCCCCACGTTGCCACTTGATGATCATTGAAGATGGAAAACAAATGTTTCAGTGGAATGTTCATGCTAAACGTACCATCGATGTTGAGGATCGGAGCATTGGGATAGTTCCAGCCTGCTATGGCTAGATGACGTGAGTCTTCAGGTGTATAACACAAGTATCCTCGCACAGTACTCGTTATTCCAGGATATCTGACAGTGTCCAATTCTTTATTACACAATTCATAGGTGCAGGAATCAAAGAGATAAGCTCCAGCATTGTGGGTTAATGTACCAGTACCACCACCGGTCACCTTCAATTTACCCTTGATGGTAATGATGCCTTCAAACATGGCCAACCACGAATCTGCTTGATTAACCGTTATATCGATGACATCATTGTTCTCGAATGATTTCACATATGGATAATAGGTACGCCATTCCACTTTAGTGATGCTTTCGTCGAGTCTGGGTTTGCGGAAAACGTCGAACACGGGTGCTAACAACATTGTAGTCTTTGAATGATTTCAGAAACAGGACACTGGATAATGTCAATGTTTTTCTGTTGCTGCTGCTCTTCGAAGACACGACTGCTTTGGTGTACGGTGTCGAGAGAACTGGTGCCGATGATGTTGCTGATGATGGTATATTATCTGATTTATAGGAGTAATCAAACACTAGTACCATCTTGCGAGTTTCTTCAATTCCAATCTTATGATGATTTCTTCACCTCTAAAATTCACCTGCCTGAAATCTTGGTCTAGAATCTGGAGTGTAATGTTGGGCAATTCCCGCCTGCTGACTATAGGTAGATAGATTAGATTTCTGGGAGTCTCGTCTATGGCGTAACCAGGATCGACTGCAACTGCAAACTCGTAGATCGTATGTGATGGTCTGTCGTTGTAGAGAGCTCCAGCAGTAACGTTGCTATCAATGTGAATGGTTCTCACTTTGGTTATGGTGACCGGCAAATCGGAAGTGTGGACTTGTTGTGCGTTCAACAATCTATTTGAAAATCCCAAGACTTGAGCTATGCTATCCTTCGGGCGAAAATCAATGGCAAACTGTTTGCTCGAAATCTCACACTTTAGTGTATTATTGTTGGGCTTCAACGAGAATATATCATCAACGTCCTTTGCACTTGAGATGCCCAATTCTTTGCGTATGAATGTCTCAATGTCCACAATGTCGTATGAACCTTCGGGAATATCGATGATCTTTCCCGCCTTGGTCTTATCTTGCAGATAAAACTTTGATCCTTTGTCGATATTCGGTATACTGTTGTATGAATGGAATCCCAACAATGCTAGTCCGTAATCAGAGTCTGGATCGAGTTGGAGTGGTGTCAAAAAGTCTATGGAGAGCGTAGATGTACGACCTTTCAACGTCACAATCAGAGACATGACTGATGCACAATGACCGAGTTACTTGGTCTCATTAAAAAGGAATTCTAAACATAGACGTCCACAATTACTTTGATTGAAATTCTGGTATTGATTGTTATTGTACAAGATTTTCGTGTTGGCACCCAAATATTGCGCCAATTCTCTGGGCGGTTTCAGATTGCCATAACTATCGAAATATAAGGCTTTTTTATCATTTTTTATGTAAGCCACCCAATGAGTGCCCGCATGATTGGCGGTATCCAAATTCAATACAGCACACTCGCGATGCCATGGACCGGTGGAAGGTAGAGTGTCCCGCATAAAAACACCTCGAAAATTCGGTATTTTCAGCTGTTTGGCATACTTTATCACATCTTTATCGTACATTGATTTATTGGGTAGCTTGTCTAGAAGTTTTTTGAGTTTTTTGATTGTTTCTTCAAGTACAGTCCGAATCCTCTCGATGTTTTGCGTAGAAATAGGCCGGAACCCTGCTTGCCGATAGCCTCCATTGCTTTATTATGTCTTTGATCTTCTTCGAGCTTTTTCTTTGCATTTTTCGCATCAATGACTGTCTTTGCGACTGCTCCGGCTCCTCCAGCTAGAGATCCTAGGGCTCCCAAGGCGGCAAAGATTGGTATCAATGGTAGTATACCGCCACTGTGTGGAAGAGGTATGATTCTTGGTACTCTGATTCTTTTTTTACCGCCAGCCCTCTTGATTGCCATTCTGGCTGCACGGAGTGCTTTCAATGCAGATTTATTCAGACCACTTCCTGATGTTGTACTACCACCACCACCACCACCACCACCACCACCACCATCTGACTTTGATAGTACATTTTTTATGAATTTGATAATGTTGGATAGGGATTGCTGTGATACAAGACCCATGCCAAGTTTTCGTTTGACCTTCATTCCGGTGGTGACAAGCCAAGCAGCAGCCTTCTCTTTGAATTTAGCGTTCTTCGACTTGACTCTCTCCCACGCTCTATTTTCCAATATCCAATCAGCTTTGTGCCTGTCTTCTATTGAGGAATTTTGTGAATAGGCGATATCGTGTTCTCGACACGCGTCGTCCAACGGATTGATACCGGTGTCTCCTCTTGCAAGTCTTTTATCGAGTTTGGTACCTGGACCACAAAATCTGTAGCCTGGAATGTGTAATTCGATGGGAAGTTTATCGATCAGAGAATTAAGCACACCCTCTCCGTGGTAGAGCAACATGAAGACTGACGTGTAGGAAGTTCGACAACTCTGCATATACCTAATGAAATGAAAAATATATCATCACATGATGAAGATCATTCAACAAGAACGGATGTTACCCATTGTGAATTTGGATGAAATTTTGTCAACCAAACCACCAGTAAATAGTAAACATGGGAAACTGCTTCCCCATTCGTTCAGAGCAATCTTCTGCGGACCAAGCGGATGTGGAAAGACCAATGCGATGCTTTCCCTGCTGTTCAATCCAAATGGCGCGAAATTCGAGAACGTTTACGTGTATTCAAAGTCGTTGTACCAACCGAAATATCAATTGCTGCAACAAGTGTTGGATTCAGTGAAAGGTGTTGGGTATTTTCCCTTTAAAGAAAATGATGATGTCATTAGTCCATCAGAAGCGAAAAATAATTCGATATTCATTTTTGATGATGTATCATGCGACAAGCAGCAAAAAATTCGAGAATATTTTTCAATGTGTAGACACAAGGATATTGACGTAGCATACCTATGCCAGACTTTTTCTAAGATACCGAAGCAGCTGGTGCGAGACAACAGTAACCTGTTGGTGTTATTTCGACAGGATGAAATGAATTTGAAGCATGTGTTCGACGAGCATGTCTCACCAGACATGTCATTCGATAAATTTAAAGCATTGTGCTCAGAGTGTTGGAATTCCAACCAATATGGTGCGATGGTGATTGCAAAAACTTTCGATATGAATGCTGGCAGATATAGAAATGGTTTCGATAAGTTCATAAGACTGTGATCTCTGGACCATTCATCAAGATGACGTCAACCAAGATGCATGATGATGTTGCTGATGCGCTGCGCAAGAAAAAAATCAACGAACTATCGAAATCAATCAGAAGAAAATATTTAGCACTAAAATTGGGCAAGTCTGAGGATGATGATGCGTTACAGAAAATATTCCAACCACTGACATCACCTTTGAAACAAATTGCCACCACGTCCAAGGTAATAAAAGAAAAACTCGATGGAACGCTTTCAAACATCAAGCGAAGCAGAGCAAAATCGTTGGGGTTGAAGAAGGAGAAGAAGGAGGAAGAGGATGGGGAGGTTGAGAGGGAGCAATCGGATTTGAACCAAACTAATTTCATACCTATGATGGATGTGGCTGATAATGCTGGGCATACTGAAGATGATGATGAGGATGGTTATGACGATGCTGATGATGAACTTTTTGTAGATAGTGAAAATATCTCACCGGCTGCAATACATGATTACGTTGATCAGTATCCTGCGATGGCTCAAAAATATCTGACTGAATACTGGACAAATGATGAAAATATCGATACGGTTTATGGTCCCAAATATGATCCAGTAACATCGAAATGGTCTCTCAACGGAAAAGAAATGAATTTCCATCGAAGAACTGGAGATATACTTCTTGATGGCTTTCGGTTCCGTGGCACCCCAGGCCTCTATCAATTACTCTTCTATAATGATCCATCCTTTGCCAAAGATGATACGAACCCATACAAGCAAATACTCTTGCTCACCAAAGCTCATCTGAATTCTGCAGGACGTATGAAGTCCTCCTCTAGACTCAAATACGTAGAAATTATTCGTCCAATGTTCAGATCCAATTCCAGTGGTCGTGGTTTGAAGTTGACATACAACACAGCACCTATCGAATACATGTATTGGGATGATCCAAACGAATTGGTAGATAGATTGAAGTTGCTCATTGCATCACAGCAAGCCGGAAATACATCAAACGATAACGAGATTGTTGCCATCTTGAACGAATTAGAAGAGGCAGGCATAATAAAACATGTGTGACATTTCTGTGATACTTCCGTAACACTTCCATGACAACTTCCATGACAGTTCCATGACACTTCCTTGACACTTCCATGACAGTTCCGTGACAGTTCCGTGACACTTCCTTGACACTTCCGTGACAGTTCCGTTACACTTCCTTGACACTTCTGTGACACTTTCATGGCATGTCTATGAGTGAAGGGGCTAATAATTGGCGATGCAAAGTGCCGACCATTATCGATAACGTACAATACTTTAGTCATTAGCATAATGAGTCTCGACAAATTCGGACGTGGCTCGTTTCCACGCTCAGCTCAGATGGTGACAGTCAGATCTGGATTTTCACATACTCCAACCGGTGATATTGATGTTGGTCATTTGAAGATGTGTAACGTAAAACTGCCAACAGATGCCGATGATGTTGCAAACAAACAATATGTGGATGAAGTTATATCGCAAATAAAGTTAGATTTCAAGATTGCTTTCGATAATTACGGTGAAAAAATCCGAAATTACCTTGCTGGCTTCAGCAACGAAATTATCGATGTACGAAAGAGAGTGGATTCTCATGATCTC